CCACTTCCACCTAACACCTTAGTTATGCAAGTCGTTATGTGAACACTTGTAGTATGGTGTAAGGTATACAATGGTTGACCCTGACCCACTATAGTGTTTTCCTTATTTCTTATACAAATATGTATAAAAATACAAGCTCATTAAAATGAAAGGGTTTTTTCTAAGAATGCATCACATAAATATATTCTCTTTTGTGGAGATCTAAAAATATCTATCAATCACTTTACCTGAAACGTTTTTCTGACGTTACTGCCAAAAATATATTAATCTGGACACAATTAGTCGAGGAATGGTGAACGTTTCTGCTGAAATAATTTTCATGCTTTAGGCAAATAAATATTTGATTGACTTGTGTGTTCTTCCTGCCAAAAAAAAAAAAAAAAAGAATATTCATTTCCTTTTCATTTCTTCTTTTCTTGTAACATTTGCAAATGTGTGACTTAGTTTTTGTCTGCATTTTTGAGGTTTTTCTTGTCGACAGGAAATTATTTCGAAACACTCTTGAATATAAATAAGACTTTGACCAATGTATATACAATGACAACACTGATAAACTACTATACGTAATCTTTGAAACAAAAGGGTCCTTTATTAAGATTATGCCTGCAAAAAAAAAAAAAAAAAAAAAAAAAAAATTATATTTGCCGGATATTACTTATAATATATGGTAAGATGTAAGGAAAATAAAACGTAGATAATTTAAGCAAAAAAAAATAAAATAATTCCAGATAGCAGCACCAGTTGATCCTTATAGAATAAAAGGAAACATATAGAAATATCAGGTAGGAAACATATCATTGTTCTTCAGAATAACTTTCTCCCAGTGTCAACAAATCCATTTTAAGCTACAAGAAACACAAACTTTCTATACAAAGAACACAAATGTAAAATAAACAGGAATAAAGTGCAATATTACCTGTCTTGGTAATGGATATGACGGCGTGATTTTAGAAAATTTTTAAAACTGAACATCGAAGAACAGCAGGAAGGCACATGAAAATTTCAATGGACTGAATTATCAGTTGGACTGAATTGGCATTTGGAAAGCGAAATATAGAAAAGACTTAAAATTTTCTTTACTAATAGCAATTCAATAACGTATTTTAAGAGCTCACAAACATTTCTTCAAGCAATAGGTTATGATATTTGTTGCATGCATAATTTAAAAAAGATAATATGCGTAGCAGGTAGCGAAGGAATGCAATAATTGAAAATTAAATTGATTGAAAGATGCCCCCCTCCATCCCTCCACCGAAAATGTAAAATAAATGAGAAAATTTTATTCGGCTATGGTCGAATCTTCTACGGTTAACATAAGGTGAGCGTGGCTGATTTTCTGGTGAATACACGAAGGAATTTCTACCTACGGATCTATTTTAGTTTATAAGCAATTAAGAGAGACACCGAAGACAGATATGCCTTCAATTTATGTTGCATTGTAGGCGTGTGCTTCGACCCATTTAACTCACTTTCAATATGAACTTCCATTGAAGAAATGACGATAAGTTCACTTCTGCGAGTCACCAACAGAAGGCAAACGAAGGGGCAAAATGGACGAAGATACTTATATGGATCACTAGTTTAACACTGCCCACGATTGCTTATACTTTATGGTGTCTCTGAAACCCTCTACTGGGCATTATAAAGGTTCAGACGAAGAAATGAAATTTCGCCTTTAGAATTATAGGATGAGTGCCGTCTTTTTCCTTGTAGGCATGTCCTTCAATAGATTTGGTCTGGTTCGCATACTAACCTTCATGCAATATTTCTTTCAAATATGAAGCCCGACGACAGCTTCACCAGGAGAATGTCTACCGCAGACATTATACAGACACATCGAAAGAGAAGCTTAAATCAATTCATAGTTTGTTATCCGTCTAGAATATATGTAGATTATGCCGTCTCTGGAGCTTTTCTCTGGCTATTGCGAATGTTTTGACAAAACGAATACGTCCTTTATCCTTCCTGCAGTATGGGTAAAAATAGAAAAATATTAAATAATTCCGCAAGCAATATAATATCGAGTAGTGTGCTTACAATATGCAATTGCGTACGTACCAGATATTAAGCAATTTTGCATTTATTGAAATTTATTTTTTACAGTAAAAAATAAATTTGAACAAAATCTTTGCTAATAGTAAGAAATTTTACGCATTATTAAATTCTTATAATAGACAATTTCGCATATATTCCTTCAGATACACACAAATTTTCCTCTTATACATTCATAAGTAGACATCTAAGTATTTTGTTTACATAATAAACACAAACATATATTTATATATAACTATATATATGTCATATGTATGCATATATATATATATATATATATATACATATATATCCATATATTTATATATTTACACATATATATATATATATTTATAAATAATACATATATAATACGCATATAAGCATAAATTTTATACAATTTGTGCAAAATTCCCTAGAGCTGACACAAGTGTTCATCTAACTGAGCATAAAATATTTATTAGTGTTGTTAACATTTCCTTTCCCGTATGTATACATTTACAACACAAACAGACATATGCATACATCTATATGTACATATATGTATATATATGCACATATATATGTGTATATGCATGAGGACTTACTACTGCACAGCAAAGGTCTATGTAAAATTAAATGTGTACGTATGTGTGTTAGCCTGTGTATTTGTGTATGTCTATCTATGTTAGATTTTCTTAATCACAAAATTGACGCAAACATGAATACACAAATCCACACGAACATGTTGGTTGTACGTACATAAGAAATTTGAAAGTATAATACAATGTCTGGTTTGGCGTAAATACATTCATTCATTCCCTACGAAATACGAAATTTCAATGTTTTGAATATCTTCTCTTGTTTTGGTTTTGTTATTGTTCTCCAAGTGTAAATGTTGTTTGTTGCTGTAAGGCAAGTGGTACATTTTGCTGAATAATTAAGCGTACGTTTATTTAATAGAATTAAGGAAATACATGTTGGCCTGATACATCCATCCATTGTACCTTTTTGCAATTTGAGAGTACAACAACATTTTTCGAATTTTTACTTCGCTTACCTATCCTATCTGTTCCTCTTTTTTTTTGTTTTTTTTTGAAGAAATTCTTGTTTCTTCACTTTTTATTTATTTATTTTTCTTTTTGCTTCAGTTTCTAGCTATACTTCAAAATAAAAATACCCCTGTCGTTATTTTTGAAGAGGAGTTGAAAGAGTAACATTAATGGTTACCAACAATAATCTCAGACTGATTCCCGTATAACATGAATTTTTATGTTGCTTTGTTTTTGCTTTAACAAGCAAGCGTGCAAGCGAGCAAGCAAAAAATCGAAAGGACTTTATAACAAAATTCCCAAGATAACAACATCTAATTAAAGCGGAAAGATAATTTCAAGTCTTTCACAGTTTTTATGCATATATTTTTTAAGCTTAGCCAAAGAATAGTGTTGTTGATGAGGGACTGTAATTGAGTTGGAAGAGGAACAATTACAAGTGGATTTTTGCATCGATAAAAATTCTTTTTCGGTTTTTCGATTTCGTCTCAATTGTAATTTTTGTACACGTCATCGAACGTTGAGCGGTATATTCACATTGGCAAAACGTTTGCAATAACCGAAGGGGAAAATCAAGCCCTGCTGGAGGTGCATCTTCATTATATTAAAACGTTTGTAAAAACCAGAAGGAAGCTTCAGAGATCCTATAAAGCGCATTTGTTCTTGAACAGTACCAAATTCTTAAAGCGATGTCCGTCTGTCCGCGCGTCTGCATGTTTGTGGCTCTCCTGGTCGCAAAAATGCAACAATCCGCTTGAAATTGGACACAAAGATTGGAAGTTTTTGTTATTGAACTTGAACCAAATCAATTAGAAGACACGGCAATAGTGCCAATATAGCTTGAAGCCATCTCTTTTTTTAAAAATAAAAACAGTTTGGATTTCTGCTTGTTCTGCTTTATAGCCTTATAAAACACAACTATAAAAATTGCATTTATATTCTTTGGGTGGTCCTGCAGCACTTGTGAAAAAATCGAAGAAATCGGCTGCGGCTGTTCAATATGATCGATTATTGAAATTTCATTTATCAAAAACTTTCCAAGCATTCCACGCGTTCTAACATTTTGGTGGTGCTTATGAAAATTTGGACTTTGGACTGACAGCAAGGACTTTCGAATACGAAGGCAACCAACCACATGCTTCTATTAAGGTAAATGCTTACTGGGGTTTCGATTAGGGTCTTAACAGCGCCCTATTATGAAATGAAATGAAAATGCTAAATATGCCATTGGACAGTTTCTCTTCATGTCGTATGTTAACTATTTCATTGAAGCCTTTAGCGATTGTCTGTCTTAGTTTTCGAACTTCGTTTTTGTTCAAGCTTTTTCCAATTACTCTTATCCGACTGTCTTAAATCCAGAGTGCTAATCTACGTCTACAAAATCATTCGATCTCAACCCATCGGTCTTTTAATAGAGCAGTTCTCAAAATCAATTACGATCCCTTTAATATTAATACTACGTATTTCTAACTTTGTGGTTGAAAAATCATTTATCGTTTGTGCAGTTCGGTGTTGAAATGCATTATCTAGGGCTTTAAAATCCTGAACCACACTGATCATAACTTTGAACTCATAACTTTCTCTTATCGTTATTACATTAATTGCCCCTTAACCGAATTATGGATACGCTTATGCGATAACCGCTTTTGTACATGATAATTACGTAGCTGTGTACACAAGCCTACGGCTTTACAATTTTGAATACAACAAAAAAAAAAAAAAAGAATGTTTTCAAATAACTTTTTCTTTCGAAACAAATTCAGCTTAATCTAAAGGTAAAATTTACAAAAGAGATTAAGCCTAACAGATCATCGGTAAGCTACTTTGCTGCGATTGCCGGTATAATTAAAAAGTTCTTCGCGTCTACATAACTTTTTTAAAATTTTTAAGATGGAAAGATATTTATGCAGAGTTTTCCGTTCTTTCCTTTCATTACAGGGCTCCGCATACGCTGCTTCCTTTCACAAAGAAATAGTTAAAGAAATTTTACTTCACGCTCCGTCGAAACAGATGCAGATGCGCTGGGTTAACTAAACATAACACTTTACGTAACAAAGATAAAAAAAAAAAAGTAAATAATGCTGAAATAAAAATTTTAAATAGAAACACCGCTATAGTAATAAACCCATAAATTATTTAAGTGAAAATTGCAAAAATCATTAACTCATGAAGTCAAAAGTCCAGTATTCAATAAAATCGATAAAGTTTTGCAAATGTAGTGTAAAATTTTTTTTTGTAAAATTTACAATCAAAGCAATATTTTAACAAAAGAAACAAGAAAAACGACCGAACAAAACAAAAGAGAGCTGGGAGAGTATCCTCTAACAATACAACACAAAAAAAAAAATAAATAAATAAATAAAATAAAAAGCGCACAAATACTTAATATAGGTAAACCCTTATCTACCGGCTATAAAATATTTAACAACTTTCAACAACAAAAACAATAAACAGCAAACAAAACAGTTGCAGTCCCAGAGTTTCAGTTGTATCCTCACTTAAACAATATGAAAAGCAATAAATAAAAAAAAAAAAAAAAAAAACGAAAGGAAAGGAGAAATAACAATAATACCAGGTAAGTAAATATAATATAAAATGAAATAATAAAAATTAAAAACAAGAAAGCTGAACAAACTCCACGCATTTTACAAATATAATTAATTACTGACAGGGAAAAAAAAAAAAAAAAGTGTGTATATAAAAAGGAGCATTACTCACAGCGTTGCCTTGCATATCCTTTAGGGATCAGGGGTTAATAAATTTACTTGCATAATATTTTTTATACTTATATGCGCATATGAATGAAGTTTATATAAAATGAAATCCCGCAAAGTATACTTTAATTAATACTTAACATACTCATGAAATGTACGTATTTGAGTTGTTTTGTTTATATGCATACATAACATACCTATACCGCTAACTCCTCATGCACATCCTCGCACGAACATGTAAATATAAACCAATATGTGCAGACATATGCATGTGCACGAATTTAAACATTACATATGAATATTAATATTATGAGTTGGCTTTACAGCATACGATGATTAATGAGCGTTCAACTACAAACTCCGTAGCGAAATATATGTTAGTTTTAGAAGTGTATGCAAATGAAAAACCATGGCGTAGATAAATCAGGAAAGAAAAGTTGCAGCAAAAAGTTATTATGAAGGGATAACAACTAGGTGAATATTTCCATAGTTACATAACCATGTGTGTTTTTGCTTATACACATTAGGTGTTCATATTACGGCAAACAACTTTTACACTTAAACAATATATGGGAAAACTTAAGTTTATTGGTTGTCTACTACAGTAGGTCTACCCAACGTGGGTAGAATTGATGTTCAATCGATTTGTTTTCCATGACTTTTCCGTTTTGCAAGCCCCTTCCTTTATAACAATAAAATATTGATTGGCAAAGTGTAGGCGTGGGTGTATCAGTTGCGAAACGATAACTAAAATCAAAAAGTTCAAGCTCATATTGCTTCCTGACTCATCGTTCTATTGGGCAGATTTTTCGCTCAGATGGATTATTTTCTCTTTCCATACTTGAAAAAACGAGTATGTGGGAAAGGACTTCCCAACAATATAGTAGGCCACGGTTCAACACTAAACACTCTACATCACCCTTGCCTATGACGCATATGGAGTGGTCGAAAAAATGCTCCAATCCGAACCATTTTCACTAGAGTGGATCCTTTTGCAAAAACACGTTAGTGTACCAAATTGCATTAATATATCTCAGAAATTACGATCTATAGGTGATGTGCGAACGCAAGAAGCAACAGCGTAGCGACAGGCTTAGAACGACTCAGAAAGTGACCCTACAATAAAAGTTGGGTATATGTCAAGTCCTTCTGGCTACTGCCTACATCCGCACAAACCCAGTATACCTTTGTGCTATAAGTTATTTCGTGATTACGTTCGGCTGTGTTTACGCCTTTGATAAGCGCCATCTTTATCTTAAAAAGCAAATATAAATAAATTAATTTTTAATACTTTATAATATTGGCGGGGTGTAGTCACATGTAGTCGGAATTGTTATGATAGAAAAATGATAAAACATTCTTTATTGGAGGTGTTGTTCGTAACTAGCTATACATTTTTCTGTCGTTGGTTTGTCTGACGATTGTGGACGCAACGTAGTATTCAAAAAACTGTTGTGTATTTGAGGCAAATCAATCATCGAGCTATTTTTTAACAAGTAAAGTGCTGCTCAAGAAATGCGAGCTTCGATGCAATCAAGCGATAATCAGAAGGACTCGAAATTGTTGCATTAGCATGGGCTAGCAATTTGCAGTTAAGTGTTTCAAATTCGCCGCGAACCTGTTTTGTTATGTGGATGGATGGATGGATGAACGAATATCGTGTAAAAAATGCACTACCATTGTCCTGCTTTAATGTATCGCACATTTTTTGAGCAGCGCAGGCGTCGAATCGATTAATAGTTGTTGGTAGCGTTTGGCTCTAACCATTATCACTTTAACAGCTAATACAAGATCACGCATTTCTAGTCCCATTTGTTTTCCTGTCGAAGTGATTCAGTTTCGCAATCGATGCTTATATTACGACTGGATATACCTATGACTTTATAAGCCTGGGATTGCCAGTTAAGGTACGGTGCAAAAAAGTATGCAAAGAATATGTTGTCGGCGAGTATTCCTTGTTTAGCAACAAACTCGACATTTACTTGTTAGAAGAAATATATTTTCGTTGCTCCATGTAATGGTATCGAGACTGTCTATTATTTCCTGATACAAAAGTTAAAAAAAAAAAAACAACTTTAGGTATATATGTACTCGACAGGTAACGGTGATAGGTCCTTCTAGAAAAAGTATTTTTTTCTCCTGATATGTGTTAGTATTTGAACTGCTTATTTTTTCCAATGTTCAATATGTTAAAACAATACTATCTCAGACACGCATATACGCTACACACGCTTATATAACACGAGCACTTCCATGATGAAAAAAAAAAATATTAAAATTGATCTTTTCACTGATTCGCTTTTCAATTAGTATTAGATAAGATATAAAGTATAACATGAATAGACTTTGAAAATCTACAAAGGTGGGAAATACATGCTCAATCTAAAAATAATTGAAAAGATTTAAGTTACAGCATAATCTATAATACGATTAGGAAAAATTGCAATAAAACCTTTTTCATTTATTTAAAGAAAAGTTTTATAAAAACTTGGAAAGAAAAAAAACAAACTTATCGTTTGCTCTTGAATTAAATTCTTTGACGTAATTTCTAACATATAGAGAAACTCTTTGCGGTTTTCTCTAAGAAACTCTAAAACAATATTAAATTAAACAAAAAAAAAAAAAAAGAAAGAAATTGAATGTTTAGTTTTTCACTCTTTTTTTGAAATTTAATGAAATTTTAACAAAGGTAGTATATGATAAATTTTGTGGTTTTACAATAGTTGTTATATATGAAATAAAAAAAAGAGTTATTTTGTGTTTTTCAGAAGAAAAAATGAGAAAAAAATCAAAGCATATTTTAAGCAAATACTATTAAACATTATTTATAACATATTTTAGATTGTTTGGAAAACTTGCAAATTAAAACAAAAACCTATATGAGATATTATAGAATTACTTGTTATATGCTATCTTTGTATATATTATTTGTTGTTTGTAAAATTTAATTAAACTTTTCAACTTTTTACTCTGCTGGAGAAAAATACTAGGCAGAGAAAAATAATTTGCTTTAGGCTGACTACAAAAATTATATGTGCATAAACATGTAATTGAAGTATAAGAATTCAGAAGGGAAATTCATTGTTTATTTAATTGTTTGCAAAGTATTGTTTTAAATGTACATTTTTTTTTTTTTTTTTTTTTTTTTTTATCAAAAGTATTTTCAATTAAATTTTCTACTCCTTTCATAGAATTTGCGTATAGAAAAAGTAGTTTAGTAAATAATATTATTGGGAGAGGTAAAAGTCAAGTTTCAAAAGTTGCGAAAAATTTTTACTAAGGATTCCTGAAATTTAATAAACTTTTTCGAGGCGGAAATTTAATATCCTCGACTTAAAAAGGCAAGAAGTTGCTTTTTCGATGAGAGTAAGAGTAAGAACTTATTTGGTGTACAAATAAATTTTCTATATTTTTTTAATAAAATACAAATTTAATTAGAAAATTTTTATTACAAAAATTAATATACGAAATGATTGCTATCGGATGCCCTTGCAATAGAAATTTCGAGGTTTCGAGACGAAGTAATCATCGACCTATTTTTAGACGTCTTCGAATTTTGTACGCTGCTGATCTGTTAAATATCGATTGCATCGATCTTAACTGGTGGTACTCTGAAAGCGACAGGCCTGGAGAAGTGTCCAAGTTGGATTGCTTCACTGGTGACGGACGAATCTTTATTTATTTGCATTCTTATAGACCCGAATGCATACTTTTACGCCCTACCTCCCTTAAAGTATTAGGCATTAAAGGCACTCAGAAGGACATGATATTGAATCACGTTTTATTGTATGGATCAATTCAGAGTTACTTTTTAAATCACCTTCTGGATCGATCTAAGTTTGTCTGTCCGCAGTTTTTGAAATAATTTGGTTAAATTTGGCGCTCTAACATTCAGTCCGTTTTGAACTTTTTGTTTTGTTCTCGTATGATATAATAATTATAGGGTGGTGTAGGGTATTTAATGGCGATCCGTTCAATTAATCTAAAATCTTTTCAATTTTTATTAAAAGCGGCGGATGACTTGGCTTTTATTGTATTGTGGTCTTTTCAAGAGGATCATTTTTCCTCTTACATCACAAATCTGAGGTGATGCTTGCATTTTTATTAACTCACTGCAGCTAACATAAGGTTTGCTTCAAAAACTTTCAACCATTCTGATTCCCTTTATTTATTAATCGGAAAATTTCAGAAAAGCTAATGAAGGAAAATTAACAGCTCTGACTGCTTTAGACAAAGTTCAATTTGTCCTCTCCTAGCAGTGAAAAGTAATAAACTCTTTTTATATTTTGACGTTTAAAGACAAAAGTTATGCTGAAAGAGTTTTCATCAAAATTGTGCGAACTAATATAAGAAATTTATGAATAATACTCTTGAAAACCACTCTTCTCATTGATATTATTTATATATATATGTATATATATATATATATATATATATATATATTTTTACTAGAAATTAATTACCTTAAATAGCGTTAAAATATTATTGCATTGAGGGGGATGAGGACTTTTCTTCCCTTTTTCGTCAAAAAAATTAAAAGGCGGAAATCATGCGTTTGCACATACATTATGAAAACCAATGCATTATTATTATAATAATATTGGCTATTTATGTGGATGCTTAAATTTAATGATCAATCAACGTAACCTATTCGAAGGAATAAAACATCGCACATAATAATATTATAAATTGATAATAGCAACAACGATGACTATGGCAATAACAGTAACAGCAATAAAAATGAAACAATTGCACATACAATAAATGCATGTTCGGAATCTTACATTTATACATATATACGTTTATAGAGTATATAGAGATAGGGACAC